ATATATATATATATATATATATATATATATATATATATATATATATATATATATATATATATATAGAATACATAAAATATAATGAATGAATTAAACCTGAAGCTGCGTGTACAGCGCAGAATAAGTTGTTAAAATTTTGTTAATTTCGGCGGGCAGCCGCTGAGAGGCAAACGAAAGGCAAAGCGAGGGAAAGGCCCACACAGCTAGCTGCTGCTGCTGCTGCTGCTGCTGCTGCTGCTGCTGCTGCTGCTGTTGCTGCTGCTGCTGCTGCTGCTGGGTTGAACTGCCCTAGTTGCAGCGTTAGGTAGTGCCTGTCTGTCTGCCTTTTGCTGCATCTGAGGGTTTATAACAAGGGGCGGGAAAGCGAGGGTTTAGGGTTTGTGTTTTGTTGTATTTCTGCGTTGTTTGAATGCGAGGGTTTACGAGGGTTTATGAGGGTTTATTGGGGGTTTCGATTGTCTGTGTGTTTAGGCCGTACAGATGCAGGCCAGTTGGTTACGTAGGCTTAGGCGGACGGTGTTCTGCTGCAACATCTGCGCTGCTGCTGCTGCTGCTGCTGCTGCTGCTGCTGCTGCTGCTGCTGGCTGTCTGCTGAGCCGCAGCACCTCTCGCTGCAGCGTAGAGAGCATGGAACCGAGAGGCCCCGTCCCGCAGCAGAGCGCGGGGGGCCGCCAACTCTAGGAGCCGCCCCTCCCCCACCACCCCCACGCGGTGACAGACTGAAGGCAGGTGCTGCAGGCGGTGAGATATCAGCAACACGCTGCCTCGTCTGCGTAAGAAAGGAAAACAGAAACATACACAGAAGAAATAAAACCGAGAATAGAGAAAGAGAGAGAGGGAGCGAGAGAGAGAGAGAGAGAGAGAGAGAGGGAGAGAGGGAGAGTGAGAAAGGAGAGGCAAAAACAAGCGGAAAGAAAACCAAAAGAGAAAGCAGAACAAAGAACAAGGTGCATAGACAGCCGAGCGTAGAGAAACCAGAGAAGAAGTATATGAATATACGATATTTCTTGCAAATAAAAAAAAAAATAAATAAATAAACTTATAAATTCCATAAATATATATTATTTCTTTATAATTACGTTATAAATTAAATAAATTAATATATTTTTTTTTTTTTGTGTGTGTGGTTGGTTACCTGAGGCACCGCCGCACCACCGGCACCAGCACCTCCTGCTCCATTGCCGGGTCCATCGCGCTGTTTGCTTCATCGAGACAGAGGATGGGGGCCTCTCGCAGCAACGCTCTGCACAGACAGAGCAGCTGCTTCTGCCCTATAGACAGACGAATGCTCTGGCTGCTGCTGCTGCTCCCCTTCGGCCCACCCATACGGTGCTGCACCGCACCCTCCCCCCCACCAGATCGATGTCCATACACCTGCTGACGCTGCTGCTGCTGCTGCTGCTGATGCTGCTGCTGATGCTGCTGCTCCTTCCCAGAAGCACCAGAGTCGGCAGAAGCTGATGAACGCGATAGATGCTCGCGGCCTTCGCCTGCAACACATGCAACACACGACACCAAACAACTAGATACACATGTACACGCAGCAGCAT